AAATATAAGCAGCCATGCCCCAGCAGCCCCTCTGCACCCCCACCCCCGGCCCCCACCCAGGCCGCACGCTCACCATGGCTGATCTCCTGTGGGGTGCCGTCCAGGGCCTGCCAGCCATCGTTGCCCACGGGCAGATCTGGCCGCCGCATCCACGCGTCTGTCCACACGTGGAAGTTCCTGTGGCAGGCGGGGAACAAGGCCCGGCCCCGTGGTTAGATGGGAACACAGCTAGGATCCACAGAGGGGAGCATGGGTCACCGAGTTCCACCCCCGGAGCCTTGCCTGGGGGGTGGATTGGGGGGAGAGGGGGTGGGGCGCCCCAGGCCTTCCCAGAAGATGTCACTGGTAGACCAAGTGAACCGCTCAAGGCCGGACGCCATCTTTGGGGTTTTGAGTATGACACACTGAATAAATGCTTGGTGAATGAATGAGCAATGGGAAGTTTGACCTTTTTCTTTGCTCTTTTCTTTTTAGTCTGTCCTGAGACTTGAACTCAGGGCCTGGGCGCCATCCCTGAGCTTCATTTGCTCAAGGCTGGGCGCTCTACCACTTGAGCCACAGTGCCACTTCTGGCTTTTTCTGTGTCTGTGGTACTGAGGAATTGAACCCAGGGCTTCATGCATGCTAGGCGAGCACTCTACCACTGAGCACCTTCCCAGTCCAGGTCTGACCGTTTTCTGGGCAGTAGACTACCTCTGGCTTGGATCCTGATTTTGTAACTGGCCAATCTTGGAACTCATTTTGTGTGAATGGGGGTGGGGGTCATGGGGCTTGAACTCTGGTCCTGGGTGCTGTCCCTGATTCTCTTTGTGCACAAGGCTAGCGCTCTACCACTTGAGCCACAGTGCCACTTCCAGTTTCCTGGTGGTTCATTGGAGATCAGAGTCTCACGGCCTTTCCTGCCCGTGCTGGCTTTGAACTGCGATCCTCAGATCTCAGCCTCCTGAGTAGCTGGGATGACAGGCGTGAGCCACGGGCGCCAGCTGGGAACTGCATTTTTAAATGACTTCTGCTGGGGCAGTTCCTGCTCAGCCTGTCTCAAATCTGAATTTTGGAAATGGATTTCTGGGTATCACCCCTCTATATCAGTGTCTAATAGATCAAGCGCGGAGCGGGGCGCAGGTGGCTCCACCTGTCATCCCAGCTACTCAGGAGGCTGAGATGTGAGGATCACGATTCAAAGCCAGCCTAGGCAGAAAAGTCCCCATGAGACTCTTCTCTCCAAATAAGCCACCAGAAAACCGGAAGTGGCGCTGTGGCTCAAGTGGTAGAACGTTGGCCTTGAGCTGAAGAGCTCAGGGACATCGCCCAGGCCCTGAGTTCGAGTCCCACTACCAACACGTAAAAGAAAAATTACAGAGGAGTGCAGGGCACCCTACCACACGGAGTCCTTGGTGAGGTCCGGGATGGTCTTGCCGGTCTGGTTCAGGTAGATGTCCACGGTGAGGTCCTTCTCCGTGTCGTGGGCTGACTCGAAGGCCGTCACGCTGCGGGCGGGGATGCCCAGAGCCCTGAGCACTGCAAGGCGACGCGCCGGGGTGAGGGGGTGAGCAGCGCGCGTGGGGGCGCTCCCCCCACCAGTGCGGCCCACCCACCCGTGGTGAGGATGCCGGAGAACACCCAGCACTGGCCGAAGTTGACGGGCTGCTTGGTGTGGTGGAACTGCTGCAGGATGGCCACGCTGCTGGACCACAGGTGCGGCGCCGTCCCGCCCGCGTAGTTCCCCGACCAGTTCCCCGTGAGCACGCCGTTGGAGTTCGCCGAGCTCATCTGATTGGGATGGGGGGGGGGGCATCAGCCTGCGACGGGCGGGACAGCCCTGACCCGCACCAAAGCTTCCACGGCTTCCAGTATCTTGTTTTGTGCGTGTGTGTGTGGGGGGGGGTCCTAGGATTTGAACTCAGGACCTGGGCGCTGTCCCTGAGGTTCTGGTGCTCAAGGCGAGCGCTCTACCACTTGAGCCCCAGCTCCACCTTTGCAGATGAGAGACTCTCATGGACTTTCCCAGCCCAGAGCCTCAGGATCTCTGCTTCCTGAGGAGCTGGGATTATAGGCGGGAGCCGCAGCACTAGGCCTAGGAGGAGTTTCTAAACCTGAGAAGGCCAAGGCAGGTCCCCGGGCGGGGTTGACGGGATCAGAGTGACCCTGTCCACCCAGCCGAAGCCCCCAGCCAGCCCAGCATCCCCCACCCCACCCCAGACCAACCATGGCACACATGGTGCGGGCCACCAGCACAGGGTCCCTCATTTCCAGGATCTTGAGGTAGCTCTGGGTCAGCAGGTAAATGGCGCAGCTTAGGATATTTTTCTCAAACTGGTTGGGAAAGGGGGGAAAAACAAGAGAGGCAGGTGAAAGGTTTGCCCAGATTACAGATTACCGGGCACCACCTCCTGTGGCCCTCACGGCTGGCCGCCTGGGGGGGCGGGTGGTTAATGCCCCGGCCACGCTCTGTGCTGCCTTGCAACCTAGACTAGGCCGCTGGGGAAGGAATGGCGATGGCTAGCTGCTTGGCTGGCTGCTGGTCTGGGTTGGTGTTTGGGAGGCAGAGGTGAGGAGCAGGGGAAGAAGGGGAGGGAGCATGAGATGGAGGGAGGTTGCTGGAAATGAAGGATCTAGGAAGGGAGGGAGGGGGAAGGGAGAAATGGATGGAAGGGGATGGTGGATAGAAGGGAGGGAGGGAGACGATGGAGCAATGGTGGCGATGATGAAGGAGAGGAGGGAGATGGTGGAGGGAGAGAAGGATGAGGGGAGGAGGGAAGGAAAGAGGAAAGCCACAAGGAATGGATGGAATAGGGAGCCGGGCCGGTGGCTCCCGCCTGTCATCCTAGCTACTCAGGAGGCTGAGATCTGAGGATCGCGGTTCAAAGCCAGTCTGGAGCCAAGCCAGAAAATCCATGAGACATTTCTCTTTGCCCGTCCTGGGGCTTTGAACTCAGGGCCTGTGCACTATCCCTGAGCCTCTCTGTGCTCAAGGCCAGTGCTTTACTATTTAAGCCACGGCACCACTTCCGGCTTTTTCCCAGTAGTTTATTGGGATGAGAGTCTCACTTTTCTGCCCTGGCTGGCTTCAAAACATGATCCTCAGATCTCAGCCTCCTGAGTAGCTAGGATGACACTGGAGACTCTTATCTCCAATGCACCCAAGAAAACTGAAAGTGGTGCTCAAGTGGTAGAGCACTCACCTTGAGTGAAAAAGCTCAGGGACAGCGCCCAGGCCGAGTTCAAGCCCGACAACAAAATAAAGAGCTCTAAAGAAAGACCATAGATGAAAGAGGGAAGG